TTAGGGTAAGATAATTGATTCAGTATTAGTCATGGAGAGGGATGAAATAACATCCAGGATGGTCAGGATGACCGGGACCTTGCCAGCGTTCCTGCTGTTTCACATTTTGATCTCCGCTGTCTGCTGAGCGTCAGCCAGAGAGTCAGTTTATCAGGGTTTTATTGTTGCCCCATATACATCAGTTCTTTAAAAAAAAAAAAAAAAATTTAAGTGCTGACAACGAGCAGAGCTCAGCGCTGTCACTGTTAGCATCCCCCAATAGAGCTGAGACATGCAGGAAGCGCCACGCCCCTTCTCTGTTTGCTTTGGCAGATCCTGCTGCCTCTTAGGAAGTATCACTTTGTCATTTAGCCCAACCAGATTCATGTGCATGGTGCACAAAGCCTCAGCTTGAGTTATGGCTTTATCCATGACCAAAATGTCTTTAAAGATTTAAGAGGGACCAACTTCTACTTTGTAATTATCTGCTGTTTATGTGTCTGACTCCACTGGGTTCCTAATAAAAGCCATATAGATGCTACCAGTGTGATGTTATGTGGCAGGGAGAGTAATGTCTTTACAGGGTTATGTTTCCCCAGAGATTTTTATAAGTAAATACACATGCAGTATGAAAGAACGCTCCAGCCATTTCTGTGATGTTGACAAGTGGTTTATTCAGCAGGAATGGTGAACAGTTTGTCAGTATTTATTTATTTTTTTGTCTACAGAAGGCAATCAAGCACCATGAATAACAGCGCTCCAATCAGACAGTTGTTTTGGACAGTGACCTTCAGGAAATTGTATCATCTCGTATAACACCTCATATAATCATTAATGACTCACACGCTCCCATGATCCAGGCTTTATTGATCATTGCATACCACTGACAAACTGGAATGTTTCATTCATTGTGTGAAGATGGTTGCTGCAGCTTCTGTTTTTTAATGCACAAACTGTATTTCAGGTACCAGAAACATAGTGTGACGGGTGTACTGTTGTTGTAGTGAAATTGAGACAGTGATACCATCATTTGATATTTAATGAACAGCTCATTGGTTTCATTCATGATACAATAATGGTGAGTGAGGCTTCACTTTAATCAAAAAGTCTTTGGTTTATACCATTTATCTGAAGATCTGGGAGGACCAGAGCTGTTCTCCAGCCAGCTTCCTATTTCATTTCTGCTGCCAAGTTGACTAATAAGACAGTTTGCTTAGAATAAACACTAAAGAATATAGCAAATCCACATTATACAACCTTTTTAGAAACAAAAACACACTTTTAAATTAATCTGTGAAAATAAGTTTTAATTGAGAATTGATAACGAATGTTTTGGACAAGATAAATTAAACTCCTGGGTTACTCTTAAAGCCAGACAATGCAATCTTAGTTCAGTTCTCAACATGGGCTAATTTAATTTTTAACTGTAGCTTAAATAGGAAGCCAGGTTCAGTAGCCCGTTAAGCTGGGCTTACACTGTGCGATTTTTGGCCCATTTTGAGCCGATTTTTGAGTCGTGCGCCCGTTTTGGTGATCGGCCCAATTTTGGCCTTTATCGTCCGTCGTGGATCATGTAGTATACGTTGGGTAACGAGAAGCGATTAACACCTCACGACCAGCTCCCGATCATCAATCGCTTGGTCGTGAGAATTTCAAACCGGTTTGAAATCCTCCCGACCGTCGTGAGGGTGTCACCGCAGCCGCTCACACTGCGCACACGCAAACACATAAATGTCGGTGAAAAAGACGGAGTAGCATGGCAGTGCAGCGTGTGAGCTGAACACAAGCGATGGAGGCACTTGTAGAACTTTGGAAAGCTCATCCGAGCCTTTTTGATGTGGCCTCACAAAATTATCACGACCACAACAACCGTGAAAATAGTTGGCTCTACACTGCTGCTCAATCACAGCTGATCAATGTTTTTCATTAGCAATTTAGCTAAGTTGATGGTGGTGGTGTATGTCTGTGTGAGTGAAAGACAGAGAGAGAGCGAGCGACAGAATTTCTGTTATAACTTTCATTTTATGGACGCACAGTGTGAGCACTCAGGTCGCATCACAGCATCGGGCCGTATATTGTGAGACCCTGCATCGTAACCGACGAACTTCTAGCCTCTTCGAGTCAATCGTGCAGTTTGAGCAGGAGCTGAATAACGCGACTGAAAAAAATCGCACAACGTAAGCCCAGTTTAGCTTAGCGATGTTAGCTAGGAACAGGGAACAGCTTCCTTGGCTCTGCCCAGAGGGTTTTATTTATTTATTTTTTAAAGCTCCTCTAAAGCTCAGAATCTTGTTTATCTAATCTTTAAAAATTGAGGTGAAATAACACACAGGATTCACTTCCTGTGTTAATCTGTGAGCTTTAGGATTGCTAGTGGGCGGATTACATTGAGTACACGTAGTCAGCAAGCTAAGCTAACTGGCTAAATAAAAAATGTAGAGAAGTAATAATTCAGCCCTACATTTATTTTGTGGGAAGATCACTTCTTTTCTGTCATGACTGCTAGCACCAACAGACTAAATAATGGAGAAGTGTGTTAAAGGCAATTAGCCAGGAGTGGGAACGGGAAGAATGGGAAAACTGCAATTATGGCTGTATTTTTCTAAGCTCTGCTGAACCACTGTGTTAAAGTTATAAAGTTAATATATCTGCAAATGGCTTTGCTAGTTTTCTAATAGCTAAAAAAAAACAAAACAAAAAAAAAAAACAAAGATAAAAATAATCCTCTGGGGTTTTTAAAAGAATCTGGAGTTTTGAGATAGCAGCAGGAATTTTATTAACATTTCAAGTACAACTTGTGATTGTTTCCCCATGCTAATGGAGTAGTTTTCAGAAGAGCTCACAATCTCTGTGAAGCAGCTCTTTAATTTTAGTTAAATAGAATAAAATATTGAACTTTATGCCATTATATTCCATGTTGACAGGCACAGGTCCGACTCAAAGATATTTTTTTTCAATGACCCTAATCCTTCACTGTATGTCATACACATTTTAGTCTTATCTGCTGAAGCCAGTGAAGCTGTATCTGGATAAATCTGCAGGTGTAAGTTATTATCAGAAAAAAAAAATTAAAATATACTAAGGCAGACATGTTGGCTTACAATTTTTAGATGATGTGGTTTGTTGGTATTTGAACTGTGATTTTCAAAATGCTGGAAAACTTTAAATGTTGTCAGTTACTTTGGAACCGACTCTGAGTAATAGTTAATTAAATCTATAAATAATAATTACATTGGCTAACCAACACTCATAGGCATAGGCAACCAGATGCCAAAGCAGAAGAGGTTTAAACCTGCATGCTACCAGAGGGTGACTCCTGCAGATTCAAAATTACTTTCTGTCCTATATAAATTTGTGTGGTTTCAAAGTTCATCTTTTCTGGTTTCAAATCATCAAGAATGGTAAAAAAAAAAAAAAAAAAGAAAGAAAGAAAGAAAGAAAGAAAGAAAGAAAAGGGGGAAAAAAAGGAATAAATAAATCAGCTCAAGACCTCAACAGGATTTCTCAAACTAGTGGCTGACTTCACAGTGCCCATCTTATATACTGTCAATGTACTCAGGTTTGGGTGAGTCCTTAGTTGTGAGCCCAGTAAGACTGAGGACCATATAATCAATAAAAATGTTATTAGGTAAGAGCGTGTCAACTAAACTATCGACCAGTCAACTCTGAGTCCACAGCCCTACTTTCGTAGGGTTCGTCACCCCGTCTCTACGAGAGTAGCAACGACCTCTTTTTATTTATGTCATTAAATTAAAGATCCAGATTCTAAATATGTTACTGAAATGGGTACATTTGGGATTTTTGTTGGATGTATGCTGATTGTCTACTGTTTGACAAAGGTTGCATTGTCTTGTTTTAAGTAATTTCAATAGCTGGTACTTTGACTTCCAGTTAGGTGAATTATCACCAACACACACATCTGGACAGACAAAAGTACACGATGACTTTTTACAATCTTAATACAATTGGAAGAATCATTGTTCACAGTTCTTTTGTCAAGTTATTTGGCATAAGGGATCTATATTGAGAAAATAATTTAAAACAGTAGAAAAAATAGCATTTTGCCTTCTTGGGAACACAACATGGTATATTCATTTCCTTTTTTTTTTTTTTAAATTCTTCATGCATTCACAGATTTCACACAGATACATTTACTCGCTTAGACTACTACCTTATTGAAACAGCTTACAAATAAAAACACTATTAAAATGGTGGCCACAAGGCTGTGCAAAAGGGAAGACCTCCAATGTAAGCCCTGCCATCAGTCTCTTAGCCATCTCTTGCAAGTAACAAACTACAAAATAGCACCATTATACAGTGGATAGGATTCTTAATACAGTTTTGTTATATGAAACCATCATGTACAATGAATGATAGTAATGCATAGGTTAACATAATGGGAATACTGTTTGATTATACACAGGCAGAGGAGACAGAGCCAGAGATGAGTCGTCTTGGGCAATTATTATTTTTTCTTATCGTTTTTTTTTTTTTTTTTTGTTTTTTTTTTTTTTTTTTTTTTTTTTTGGAGGCTTAAACAAACAGCCGTTTTTGTTAGTCCTCATGCAAGGACTTCTCAGAACTGGCTTTTCATCAAAGTTGGTGTATGTCTGCATGACCTTTGCTTGTAGTTGCATAACTCTAATTTACCTTGTGAGTGCTTTTGTATGTGTATTTGTATTCTGATATGCGAACATCACATCACCAGAAAGATTTGTCCTTGTGGTTTTGCCAACGTTCACCAAATATGCGTGTTTCTTGGGTGCACTCTGCAATGAATGCAGTGGAGGTTTATTCTACTCTTGCCATCAGATAAAGTTGCAAAATTCTCAGCCTTCCTAAGCTAATAAAATATCCAGGTCAAGATCAATCACTTAAATTCATACGTGTGAAGGCTCTGCTTTTTTTTTTAGAGCACTTGCTTTGACTAAACTTTCATAACATCGTGTTTACCCTTGAACACGGGTTGTGAGTGGAAACCTGTGTTCAAGGTTAAACACAGGTTTCCACTCAAACGGAAATGTTGACTGAACTGTTGTCAAAAATCAAATTTGGCTGGGGTGTTGACACGTGAAAGGATGCAGACGACAAACATTTTGCCTGATTGTCATTATTTGACTTTTTCCGCTTCAGTTTGCCAAATGCACTTTGACTTCACCGAAGGACACGCTTCTGAGGGCCAAACGAGAACTCAGTTTTAGCTTCTGGTTAATTTGTTTTTCTGTTTTGGAAAATGTGAAAAATCCCAGTCTTGTTTTTGTAGTACCTTCTGTACTACCTACTTTCTTTAAAATCCCCTCTAATAGTGCTTGAGCTCTTTTTATAATGTTTGGATTGTAGACTCAGTCCTCAGGTTTTGAACACTTCCTGGGGCTTAAGAGAGATTTGGACTGATCTCAAACCTTCCAGCGACTCCTCGTAGTAAGGTTTAGACTTAGGCTCAAGTTAAAATACCTACAACAATGTTCAAACTCTGATGAACCACCTGGTCTTTGTCCTTAAAGCAAACCTTTTTTATTTATTTTTTTACATAATAAAAATATCCACAGTAATGGATGGTGCATAAAAACAAACTCTGAAGGTAATATATCAGCTTTGAACTGGGGTACTAACTGTTAAATGTGACCGAGCCACAGTCATGCTGCTCTCTGATTGGCTGAGGCCCAGATACGTTCCCATCTTTCCTGGAGCCTGGGGAGGCTGCAGCTCCCACATGGAGGTATAATAAGCTCTTGTTCGTGTCTTAGCAGCTAAACTAGTCTGTTACATTGCATTAACAAAGAATTCCTCCCAGTATGGAATGGTGCAGTGTATAAAATAATCACAACTTTCCACATCAGACCCTTACACACCACCTAGCTCTCTGTTTTCAATCATTTTGAAGAGCTTTTCAGGTCATTATTAGCATCTTCTTTCTTTTGTTTTACAGTGAACCATTCCACAGGGGTACCAGGTAAGGCCACTCCCTTCTCTCCTCCCAAGTTGCTGGGCATTTGTCCATTTGCTCCTTCCCTACATTCTGTAATTCCTGCCCCCCGAACTTCCTCGACTTGAGTTTTTCTGGTGGACTTCCTGCAACAAAAAAGAAACACATTTTTTTTAATTTTTTTTTTAGATGTACAGCAGAGATATAGAAGACAAATTTTTCATTTTTTATTTCTGGTAACTTCAAATAGGAATCAATTTTAGTACCTAACTTCCAAATCCCAAAAAGTTGATTTCATTCATCTGTACATTACACTTTCAGTGGTAGAAAGGTTTTGTTAATGATCCAAGTGTCCTTTTCAGTCCACAATGAACCGAATCAACGTTCTGGTATGATGGAACATGCATCAAAACATTCCAACATCCAAATGTTGGTCTAAAAGTGTCTAAGGTCAGTCATATGCCATAAGGATTCTTACACTGGTTAGGGTAACACTAGAGCAGATGGGGTATCCTGGTCTTGTATTCAAGCAACTGACAGTAAGGGGAAATCAGGGGAAAATTGCCTTGGACTGTGCTCTGGAAGAGTCCAGAATCTAGTAATAGTAAAAGCCCTTAAAATTACCTGACCTGACTGCTGATCACTTTCTTCACTCTCAGTGTTTAAATAACTTCTTCTTCCACTAACATCTGCACATCCTAGCCTCTAAACAGGGTTTTTATGTGCCTGAGCCATGCAAGACCTAAGTAAGGGAAAGTACATAAGTACATAGGGAAGTACATAAGTAGTTCTGCCTGTACTTATTACAGTACTTATTCTAGTAGATTCTAGGAGTAGTTATCTACTTAGTTCTTAACTCCTTACCTCCCTGCCAAGGAGGTCTGCATATTTTAAATCAACGATATGTTCTTTATATAATTGATTTTTGGACTCTAAATGAATTCAAACAAATGCAGCTCACTGAATTTTTCTTCAACATCCTTCCCTCTACAATGCTTGATTTTACACTCTGCCTCTTCTGAGTGTGGTTATTCTGATCAGATGTGGGCACTCGGATTTCAAATGCATTCAGTCAGAAAACATGCTATATTCGGACAGAGTATGATCTCAACCTTCGAACAGATCTAAAATTGTTCACCACCAACTGCCAGTGATGTACGAACAGCTGCAAACATAAAATCACTAAACGTGATATGTGTGCTTTGGCTCCTTCCCTTGCATGTTGTATTGTAAGCTATCTGAATTTTAGGACATAATGTACAGTAGCAGAGTGGAGATTGTGCCTGGGGAGTGCCACTGCAGGTCTACCACAAAAACCACTTAGTTTCTTCTTCCGATTCTAATGGTGTTCTTTTTTTGAGAAAAGAGTAAAAAGCACATGGTTGAATTTTAAAATGCTCACACTATGACACCGAATCCATATTTAGAAATTACACGTTCTTTAGTTGCCCCCTGATGTTCTAGAACTAGGATTTATATAAAGTTTTCATTTCTTGTAAAAAGATTGCCCTGCTTTTGAAACTCTTACGTCATTGGCGAGATTGCGTGTTTGATAAAGCTTAGATGACAAAAGGACAATGAAACATGAGATCATTTTGCATGCATACCTTGAAGGATGAACTATGTCCAGGTGAAGGTCTCTGTGGAAGAAAAAATAGGTCACTTTAGTTTCTGCTAATTAAGCTATATTACCTTAATTAATCAGGATATTATGCACATATGTTCTGAGTATGTAACAAAATGTAAATTCAATCCAATCAACAATTTTTAAAATTTATCTGTTTTGATGCTTTGCTCACCTTCTTGTTTTTTGTCTTGTCTGGCTGAGGCGCTGTCCTACGCTCTGTCCCCTTGTTCGCTCTGCTACTAACCTTGGGTGTTCTTGGCATGTCTGTGTGCCGCTGTGAACGCACAGAGCGAGAAATCTTGGGAGTCTTGACAGGTGCACAGTACATCTCAAGGCGCTGCAGCTCACAGCTTTGGAAGCAGCACTCATCCACGATGCCACGTGACCGCCTTGCACTGGGGCCATAGCCTGTTGGTTTATCTGTTTGAGAAGAACGGCAGCAGGTTTTAGACAATGGAGAGACAGAACCAGTTCCATTGCTTAGTTCTAATTTTCTACCCAACAAAATTGGTGGCTAGTGCGCTGAAATAAAGGACTCATTGATCCAAACTTTACTACTTCAGAAAGAAATCTGCACTTGTTTACACGAGCTGGTATAAAAAGGCTAGGTAGCAATATTTTGGCTCTTGACTGGACTTGAAGAAAAACCATAGATTTGTTTAATGATTTCATATGACTGGATATATTCTAAAAGTATATTTATATAAAAAGTCAGCCAGAGACAACATTTTAAATCGGTTAACAAAACTATTGCTAGCTTAATTTGCTATCATCCTATAGGAAAAAAAAATCTGTTAATGGTAAATGTCCGTTCAGCCAGTAAAATCAGTGTTGTCTGCATTTGTTTACCTGCTTCTAAATTAAGGGAACTTTGATTTGAAATTTAGTCCATAATTTAAGTGGTAAATTTGTCCTCATGCTTATGGCCAGTACAGGTTTAGCTGAACCAGCCAAACTCAACAACAAAAATATTGATGTTAGCTAGGAAGCAAAAAGGAACAATGTTGTTTCATGATTTCCATGCTTTCTACATATAATTGCATATATTTTTTAATTTGTACAAATATAAAGCATAGGCCAGAAAAGACACTTTACATGTGTACAGCTGACAAAACATTTTTATATTAGCCAACAAAATCCGTGCCTTTGTCTATTTTTTCCCAAAATACCCATTGATTTAAAGTTTACTACGCATTTTCAGTTGAAATTGTCACTTTTGAGTCTTTAAATTATGACATTATTATTTTCCCTTTCCTATGCTTCTTATTTTTTTAATAGAATTAATCAAAGACATTCTGGCGATGGCTGGACGCCGACGCCACGCTCGTAATAAAGCTGTGATAACAGCCGTACGGTCTCAGTGACACTGATTTCTTACATGTAAAATTTACAACATATCACATTGCACACTGTGGACTCATTTTGGCAGCTGCATCAATGTAAAAAAAAAAAAAAAATTTAAAAAGGAGGGAAAGGGGTGGGGGAAGGGGGGCAGTCACCCAAATGGTGAGAATATCCTGCTCAGCCATTTTGGCCCAGGTGTCTTTTACATAGTCCAGCGAGGCCAAGCCACAAGTCCCCTGGGCCCGATCCACCTGCAGAAACATCCAGGCAGGCTTTTAGGACCACACCACCATTGGCTATGTCCCACTGTTCATTCACATTTTTATTTGGCAGAAGCACCCTGGAGGCTCGTTCAAATAACACAGATTTTGAGGATGGAGACATGATGCATGCTCACTGCATGAAGTAAAGAAGCAAAGCCAGCTAGCAAAGGTGTTTTGGGTATTTTGCTTTTTGGGGGAGGTTTTTGAGTCCAAATAATACATCTCAGGGCGTGACAGATTTTTGACTCAATGATCACATTTAGTTACAGTGACGCCAGTACTCACTTCCTCTTTTAACTCCCTAACCCCCCAGAACCCACCCTCTTTGGTGGCTTTTAGAAAAACCCAGACTTCCCATTTACAATTCCCTGCTCACCTTGAACAATATAGTCCTGATGGGCTTTTCCCTGTTACCAAATGAAATAATAATAATTTAATATGGCATTTACAAGGAGGAAATGCCTTTCCCTCTCAGAGTTAATAGCTCTTGGCTCAGAAGACTGCCAGTGCTGACAAAGTGCATTAACTTCTGCTCTCTGTCTGCCTTGTCCTGACAACGTTATTTTGAACAGAGAGCAGCTTTCATTCAGAAACAGAAGCATCTTTCTCCTCAGACCCCCAGACACAAAGCAGAGTGGAGGCTAACAGAGGTGTGAATGAAGAGGAGGAGATGGGGGGTGATAGGGAGGCTTTCATGTTGCTCATCAGGTAGCTGGATGCTAAAAATACCTTGTGCACCTGCATTATTTAGGAAACAGAAGAACTGGATTTACCCAGATCTCAGACTTCTAAACTAGATGTGTGCAAACTAGAAAACTGAAATATTTAAATGGCTGAAAAAAAATCTTGATTTGGATATTTAAACTATTTATTATATACAGTTCAAACGATTGTATTCATTTTGTTTTTCTAAGAAATTCTTTCAGTGCTTGTCCCACTGAGTAACAGTTGGCTGTTCTATTAACACCTGACGTGAAGACATTTAAAATGAGAAAATTGCGACACTGAGCCCTGGCTGGTGATTATATAATGGTTTCTGAAAGCCAAAAGAGGGGCTGTGCTTCAATGCCTGGCCTGTTTTTCAATCCCCCCACCCCCACCCCCCCCAATAAAGCCTTACAAATTAACATCCGCTATTATTCTGAAAATAGTTTGCCACCCTGCTGCACAAACAGCTGGAAGGGACAGGGTAATCAGCTGGTGCCGGTTGTAACATGTAGGATAATCAGCTCAGGCAGGTTAGGGGAAAACACGCATATAATAATCAGGTCTAAAAGCTTTGGATAACTGCTGTAATCCCCCATCAACAAAGAATTGTTTTCTGTGACTGTTAAATAAGGGTAAATAAAGAAGATGCAAAAAAGGTTTTGCCGATTTTGCAAAAGTCAGTCTGAAGGAAAACTTAAAGAAAGAACGTTTCTTTTGATTATTAAATACCAACTGTCTTTAGGAAGGACCTTTAACGACTTACTTCTTTGCAGATGATGCCAGCCTGTACAAATATTTCTAACCAGAGCAGCACATACCGTACTTGGTGGTGAATTCGAGAAAATAAAGAGAAAAAAGCCAGAGGTTTATTTAGGAGGGCCTGATACACTGGATAGCCATGCATGTCGCACAACCGGTGAGTCAAGGAACCACAACTTACACACACATCTCTGAGAAACCCTGGACATTGAAAAAGCTATTCTTTTCAGAAGTTTTATGAACATTTTGATGTGTTCTGAGGTATTTTCCTTTGTCCATAAGTGTGTTAACTTTGGAATAAGTTCTACCGGTTGTAAACTGAAAACAACCACAGTCTTTGTCCACTACGAATTAGCCACTTAGACATTTACAGAACCTTCTTTTAAGTGCTTTTTAAAGGCCAAATCATAACTTTTGTCTCATTGTATCACTGATATGCACATTAGCACTCAACCCAAAATCTGAAGTCGTGTGGACTAGCACCACTGCAGTCACACCAATTAAAAGTCAACTGAAAGCTTGTTTCACACGCCATGTGTAGTTTAGTGATGTCTTGCACAACCTTGATCTTGTTCTTGTTTTGAATTTGCACACACTGTTTTCTCTTTTTGACTTTTTCCTGTTGTTCAGCCAAACACAGCAAACTAAGCAGCTCTTCTTCCTCCATCAGGAGGTCCACACGATTTCTAGTGAGCATGTGTGGAACGCGTCTGCGTAGACTTGACCCCGGTTAAATATGTATAGAAGCACTGTTTGAAGTTTAAGTCTACAGTTGGCTGCACAAAAACCACAAATTGGTCTTTGGGGTGGAGTACTTCTTCACCTTGGATGTCACTCTGACAGCATCCTTCTTAACAGAAGCTATGCTATAGTTTTGACTAGCCACAATCTATGTTAGTTTTTCGTAAAGTCTTTCATCTGATGTCACCGCACGGTTCCCTGAAACATCTTTGGTTTGGTATTTGACAGGCTCAGCATGCATAGTGCTCATTCCTCCAAGGAACAGCACCGGAGAGAGATGGCTCGATTTCCCCATTCCAGAGTGGCACAGAAAGCATCTGAGTTTTACAGCTTGGTCATGGTCAATAAAAAGCAGTGGATTCTTGGAGCCAGTGCACTGCTCCTCCTGCGAAGTGTCAGGGAGTTTACGGCTGGGCAGGGACTAGAAAAGCTGCTTTAAGTACTAGAAACTATCCCTTTATCATTGGTACCATGTTTTACGGCTTGTGAGAATTTGAACCTTATCCAAATGCATTATGAATATTTAAAGATGGATTTTTCAGGGTATTTGTTCTTGAAAAAGTTTTGCAACAACTTTTGGAATTTACAAATGTAATGTAATTTTTTCTCATGATCGGTAGTTGGGAGACAAGTTAAGTTATCATTACATGGTTAGTGGTCATGTGTCTGCAAAGCCTCGACACTGGAAGTCTTTATCACCAGTTGGTGGCCATTAAAAAAGATTGCAGGGGAAAGAACTTTGCCTGGAAGCTGCATCCATCTTTTAGATTGTCTGCGGTTAATGCCTGTGTTTGATTATGTATTTCTTCTGCTTATCGTGGAGATAAATGTCATTATTTATTATAGCCTTGAGTATTTGAATAGTTATCGAATTTAGGAAGGCTACATTTCTGCATTACAGACAAATGTAATGTGATCACTGCTGTGCATGAGTCTTTGGTTACACCTAACAAGCGAAACCAAGCCATTTTATGAGATCTATAAAGACAAAAGAATGCCATGAAGAAGATATCTATAAATCTTACTAATGTTCCCCTGTTTTCTTTGTAGAAGGCCTGCATAATGTGAATGAATGAAAAGGTTAAGTATTTTTTAGTGTCCTCAAATCCCTCGAGTCTCAACTTCACCTAATGTACAGATTTAAATCTGGACGACGCCTGCCTGTCCTTTTCATGAGAAGCCTCTTTGTTCCAGTATTTCGCAGCGGGGGTCAGAGATGTTTAGTTTCAGGTCTTCATGGGAAATCGACACCTTTTCATAGCGATGGAGAAGACACAGGAGGGCTTTCTTCGGGCCTTGGTGCCTTCCGCTGTGTGCCCAGGTCCAGTGCAAAACTATGGCGGGAGGGGATGGTGGAGGGTGTCCTGATCATCCTGTAATCCACATAATCCCCTGCTGCTGAGGGACCAGGCCTCGCCATGCGTGAGTCTAAGTGCGTGCATGTGACGTGCTGTTTACACATTCTCCCTCTTTCTCCAGCTCAAGTGGCTCTGAATAAAACTGGCAGGGACAGACACTGAAAAGGAAGTCATATCTCATCCTCCACTCTCCTTTCCACCTTCAACTCACCTGAGCACACTGCATTTTATATTTGGTTGCCTTCTTATTGGGTATTTGTGTAGCGACGATGAGCTTTTGGCTGAAAAAAGGATGGATTATTTCATCTTCTTTGCAGACACTATGCAGAAGTCTTACAGAGTAAGATTAAATATCTCGTGCTCACTCTAAAACAGCTGAATATTTCAGCATGAACTAAAAGTGACTTAGAGCGCGGAGCTACTTAGCACTCACACTTCAGCCAAAAAACGTCCCATAACAGATCTGATTCATGGAATGAACATCCCAGTGAAATCACCCCGCAGTCCTGCCTGCTAAAGCATTACAAAGACAACTAAGGATTTTTTTAGGTCGGGCTAATAATTGGAAAAACTGACTGCAGGTTTTTTTTTCTCTGTTTCATTGACCGCAGTTTGTTTAATTACCCTTTAAAAAAATGAATTTCCACCAACTAATGTTTTCTGTCAGGGTAGGAAATCTGCAGTTGTGAAATACAAGTGTGCTTCACTTTACTGGTGGCATGGCAAAAAGCACTGTGAGCACATAAAGCCCGCTGTTGTTGCAACACTGTCTCTGCACACATTATCAATCAGAGGGCTGCCAAGTTCAACACGGCCAGACTGGAGGGGAAGAGTTCAGGGAAAGGATCACGCTTCCTTTGGCCAAGCCGTTACTCTGCCGCGTCCTATGGACGACAGAGCCCAAATGGATTCTCCAGATATTTTACTGACTAGAAGCAAAGGAAAAGGGATGACAGCAAGAATATGAGAGAGCGAGAGAAACCGAGGACGACAGCGAGAAGCATATTTTCCAAGGCACAGCACCCTGCTGCTCAAACCTCGTCATCTTTTTCAGAGAATGGATGGAGTGTTCATGAAATACGCCTCTTTTTAACAGGAAAAAGTAGCATTGATAGATGGATGCTGTGTAGTCCACTGACAGCTCAGTGTAAGGTAATGTGGGAAAGACAAATACGTTCCACCAACCACCACAAAAAGGTCTGTTCCTGTTTAAGAAGTATATTCTACATGAGGATTCATGAGTTGCATTGGCTTCTGTTCAACACTTTCCCATTTAATAAACTGCAGTTAAACTCCGGTATCAGTATCCAACCCTTTGTCACATTCCCACATCACCCGGCTCTGAACACTCTCATACCTTGTCAAAATCCTAAACATATCAAAAACGTTTAAGCTACAGCTGCAGACAGGTCACGGGACCATTTCAAAATCGGAGAAATGAAATGTTCAGAGTTGGGTTTTTTAAAAAAAAAAAAGACTGCTAAGGAAAAAAAGATGCCAAAGTTCAAACCTGTTTACTCAGAATCCAAGGCCTGCACTTATTAAAATGTTATGTTTGATCATTTAAAGAAGAAGACGCTGAAGCCGAGAGAATCCAAAGACCAAAAAGTCTTAACAGGCAGAATACTGGCAATCGGACTGGCTGTCAAGACCACTTCACAGCATGTGGGTATTTCCAGGAGCATCTGGACGAACACGGCTCGCAGCTTTGCAGTAGCTTGGTGGCTCTCCAAAAAACTTTCTGGCAAATGCCATACAGAGGCCCTGACGCAGAGAATGATGTGGACTGGTCCTGGAAAAGCTGCAAGGAGCAGGATTCGGGGAGAGGAGCAGCAAGGTGCATGCTGACACTGCTATCTGTAAAGAAATCTATTTACATTCAGAAGACCGAATTCCAAAGAATTAAAATGATTTAATTTGTAGAATCTCTTAGCATAACAGCCAGAAACATGGTTTAGGTTATGCAACTCAGACCCTTTGTTAAGGTTAGAGAAGGGGTAAGAGAGAGATTTTACAGTGATGTGTGAATTGTATTGTGCCTATTTAATTTCCAATCTCTCCGAAACAAAGTCATACATAAACAAGCTGGTAGAAAGCAGGAAATTGATCTGAGAGTAGCTTCTGGCTTTTAAAAGAGAAGCCAACATGGAAGTGCTTTAAACCTGCATTTTTTTCCAGGCCACTAGAGGGTGATAGCTGTAGTTTGAAAAAGACTTCTGGTCCTATAGAAGTCTTTGGGAAAATTACCTTCTGACTTGAGTTCTGTAAACACTTTTCTGCATAATGCACTTTGTATGCAGTGTCAGACGTTTTTCATGACAGGTGTAGCTAGTCCCATCAAAGCACAGTTTGGATGATTCTCAGTGCCAAACGAGAACAGTTGATAGCTGAGCTGATGAACTTGTACAAATCCAGTTGACCAACTCTTATATTTAAGCTGCATGAAGAGTCTATTATATTCTGATACAGCGACAGATAGCTGAAGAGACACCATGGCCAAGCAATGGTTCTTGTTATGTCTCTGTAGTCCGACTGAAGGGCGCAAGTGTAGTTGGTGCAGGGTAATGTAAAATCTTTGTGTTCGTGTAAATTACCAGGCACACAGACGCCTCCTCAGAGCCTCATACTCGCATCACATGACACAAATGGACTCGAGCCTAAAGCATATCCCATCTATTAGTCTGTCCCCAGTTGCTATACACATCTATATACATCTGCACGCCACTTTAGAACCCACTTCCATCCATGGCACACCTTTCCATGTATATTGAAAGGTGGAAAGGTCCCAGAACAGAGCCATGCCACCACATGCAGAGATCTGCAGATGGAAATAACCCTTCAACAATAAGAACCTTTAGAGGGTTGGCTGTAGCTCAGGAAGAGCAGGTCACCTACTGATCGGAAGGTTGGTGGTTCGGTCCCTGGCTCCTCTAGTTTGCATGCCAAGTGTCCTTGGGCAAGATACTAACCCCAAGTTGCTCTCCAATGCATCCATCGGAGTATGCATGTGTGTGAATGTAGTTAGAAAGCACTATGAATAGAGAAGGTTCTTGTGGAATGGGTGTGATTGGGTGAATGTGGCATGTTGTATAGAGCCTTTTGAGTACTCCGAAAGAGTAGAAAAGCGCTATATAAGAATCAATCAGTCCACTTGTATACGTTATGTTATGTTCTTACTAACTGCAGTGCTAACCATGACCTAGTGTGTTGCCGTAATTTTTTCACAAATACTTTAGATTAGTAGAAGTAGCTCTGTGGTCCAAACCTATAATTGCAACTTTGTTCATCACATGAACTGAAGATGAGGTATTTCCTGGTTTGAGGTTGTGGGCCCTGCAGTACCCTTAAAAGCTGGCCCACACGTTGTGGAATCACAGCACCACAGTACTTGGTTTAGGTCAGTTAAGGATTTAAACCCAGCTGTTAAGCATTGTTTCAACACCAGAGTGTATAGACAATATTTGTATTGAAGTCCCTTAAACCTGCATTTTTTTTCTTCTAATGGCCAGCAGGGGGCGACTCCTCTGGTGCAAAAATGGGAAAAGTCGGACTACGTAGAATTCTATTAGGAGATGACCAGATCATCTCCTGCGATCTGTGATTTCAGTAAACACTTTGCTGATTATTGGTTTTTAGCTAATGCAACATGATGATTACGTAGTAAATTATGGTCAAATAGGACCATAAAGCAGGGTAGGTTTTATCATAGGGTGAAGTCTATGCTGCTTGCATTTAGACTGAGCTTGTGAATGCCATCCATTCTCTTCTGCTTATCCAATTCATTTCAATCAGCTATATTTTAGTGATAATTAGGAAAAAAATAATGGGTTATCAAGCCAAACTAAGTTATTGAACGCAGTAAAGTTATCTGCTAAACCTGAGCATGGCTTTATACCACTACTGCCCACTTCTTCTGGCCTCTAATTGTCCTACACGATAGAAAAGGTATATTTTCAAACTATTCAAACTATTCAGGTTCAAGCGAAGGTGAAAGAAATCAATTACTGGAAAAGAGAAGAACTGCAAATGCATTATAGATGCTGCTGATCTCCAAGAGAAATCTTATATCTTCTTCTTCTGTTTTTCGAACTGGCAGCTGACAAAGTCTACCACATGTGGAAAATCTTTCATAACTTTGGGACCAAACCAAACCATTTAAAATGGATTGTTATGACAAAACTGCACAGGAGTCAGAGGGAGAACTAATAATTTTATGAATAAGAAATGACTGTTGGTGGAGATGTGATGCTCGTTAAGGACATTTGCTGAAACTGGCTTAATTGATGGATGCCAGCCAGAGAAAAGTGAATAATAAGCTTCTAACCTTCAGCTCTGTGGGAGCCAACTATACTGTTAATGTACAGTCGTGCTGCTCGTCTCTGACAGACAAAGCAGGATACATGTCCTGAGAAACTCTGGCTGCCGGTGGAACATTGCACCTAACCTTCATAGCTCCATATATCCTGTGCTGCTCTGGGCTAGGTTGTACCCTTAATGGAAAAATTGGAGATTTAAATCCTGGTTTCTTGGTCGAGGGTTTTCTTTGGGTGGCTCTCCCTTCTCTGGTGGAAAAAAGAAAAAACTTCACTGCAACATTTACTTTCTACCCCTCCTTTTTCTTGGAGATAGCCAAATTCCACTTAAAGCCCTTTCCCTCTGGTCACAGCTGCGATTTGCCACCAATAAGAGTTACTTATCATTATTCCATATTTCATCTAACTTTTCTCATTCAGAATTTGACCTCGGTGATGAGAGTAGCATTAAAACAAATGTACAGGGAATTTAAATATAAGATGTAAGAGTGGATGAGGAATGAATGAAGTAAAAAAAAAAAAAACATTAAGGGAAAGCCAAGACGAGATGTCAAACTGGCTGTTCTTTTATTTATGAGCTCGCAGGAGGTGGAGAGCTCTGGGACATATACAGCCAACCTTTATGAATAAATAAAAAGGTGCACTTACTGAAATAAAAGCCTCGCTCTCCACAGACAAACTGCAGCGTGTCGACCAGCTCCGCCCCGCACAGGGTCTCAGGGCCCGCCCCTGTTGCCGTCGGAGTCAGGGTGAGGACGCACAGCAGTAGTGAGAGGGTGTGGCTACAGGAGATACAGCACATCGCACTCTGCGCACAGGGAGAGAGCAAGAACATTTTCACAGCATCATCGGAAAAAGAGTTTCTTTTAACCACAACTCAAAGCTTCATGCACTCTTCTCCATTTAGCGCATCTGCTGTGACAGTTTGTTGCACAGTGTCTTGCTCAAAGGCACGTCAGTAAGTGGCAGTATTACACTTGCACTGTCAAACACAGGGTTGAAAAAAAAAAAAGGCAGCCAGCTTAAAGTTGGGCATCCAGGATGTTCCATCTGCTAAAAAGGGGAAAGAAACAGATGGTAACTTTACAGGAGTTTGGAGATGTGGAGGAAAATGTATTAAATCCAGACTCGCACTCGGTGCCAGAGTCAGTCAAACAGGAGGCTGAGCAGCTCTGATGCTCCGGAGCGCCTGTGCGTAACCGAGCGGAGCGCGTCCAAATTGAAAACACACTATACCCCCCTCCTCTCCTTCTCGTCCATCCGCCCGGCTTCTGTGTAGTGGGTCTTAGCAAGTTAACAACAATCTGCATTAATCACATTAATTAAATGCAGGCTATCTATCATTAACAACCAGTTTAACATTTAAAATGTGCCAAAGCCTAGCTGTCAGCGCATTATTAGGCGCAAAAGTGCTTCGACACTCAGAAAGGAGAATAAATGAGCTGCCAAGAGATCTTTCCGATCCAAAATGTGAGATGGAAAAAGGCTCTCCCGCCAAAGCCCGCGGAGGAAGCTGACTGGGCCAAATGTACATAATAAAGAGAATAAACACGGAACGTTATCCATCTACATCACAACCGCAAAGTCCCGACGCCCGCAAGTGTTTCTTGATAATCTCTCCTCTCTCCCGCTCTCTGTCTTTCAACCCCGCAGAGGCATCAGGTTAGATATTTACCACGTAAATTATGCAGACTCAGCAGTAATTACTTTGAAAGTTGCACAGCTGCATTAGGGCTTTCTGGTGGAAAAAAGCGCCGGGCGCACGGAAAATGTCCAAATTCATACCTGCGCTGAAAGTCATGCACGATCCATGTCAATGATTTTTTGATTGCAAAAAAAAAAAAAAAAAAAAAAAAA